GGGTGGCGGCGAGCGGGCGTTGCGTCGCTTGCCGTCGCGGCGCGGTCAGAGGCGAGCGCCCAGGACCAAGCTGCCCGGCGCACTGTTGCCGGCCGCCTGCAGGTTTACGCCCTGCCTTGACGCAGTGTTCGAATAGCCGTGCCATCGGGCGCTTTTGGAGGCGGCAAGATGCCTCATAGTGCCCTGCTCTGATGCAAGGCGTGAGGCCGCGTTTTTGGCCAGCAGGGTTGAGGGCTGACACCAAGGCCGGCTCACCATGAAGGCGCGGACCTTGTCACGCACGGCGCGCTCGTCCGGGGTCAGCAGCGCGTCCAGACCCAGGGCGTCGTGTGCTGATGTGGGGAATTGGGCCGCCGTGGTGGCCTGGCGGGAGGTGTGGGGAAAAGCGGCGGGCTCAGGAACAGCAGCTGGCTGTCAAGCTGCGACTTGGCGACCGCCGCGGCCTGCTGCTGGCTGCGGATACGCGCAACACGGGTGGATGGATGGGTACATGCTAGTACAAAGGCCGACGTTGCACGGCCAGAGGCCTGCGCCAGCACACCTGGGGAAAGGCGCGCATGAACCCGGTCGAGTGCGGTGCCACAGAAGACCGCGCCGGCGACGGCACCAGCAGCTGGTGAACGGGCTGCTCCTCGCCGTCTTGCAACGAGCGTGTGGCAAAAGGATGACATCAGGAGTGATACTCACTGGCGAAAACGAGAAGAGCCACGCGACCAGGCCACGGAGATCGATGCACTCACTGGCATGCACGAGCGCGCTTCCAAGCCCGGCTCACCATCTGCGCATGATGTGACCTGCCGGCCCAGGACACGAAGCCGGTCCTTCGCGCTCTCCGAGGCCGACATGGTGTGTGCAGCGACGATGTATGTCACCGCTGTGATGAACTGCTGATTTTGATACCTTGCAGTGGCTGTTTGCGGCTATGCAGGACCCGTACGACGTAATGGGATGCCGACTTCGCGGGTTGCGGTTGCCTGTTGCCGGTCCGGTCAGCACGGCACATCGCGAGCCGGTGCCGAAGCATAGCAGGCGACCACACTGTTCCCAGCAGGCTACGGTTGCAAGCCAACTGCCGGAGGCCTAGCGGGCGACATAAGACATGCCTGCCGTGGCTGATATGTGGACATGGTGGCTGCCAAGTGTTGGGCACAGTGGGCCAGGCTCGCCATCCCTCTGACCCGCTGCCTCCGCGGCAGTCCTCTATCCTCGAAAACGGGTTGCTGCTCAAGCATATGCTCGGCAAAATGATGGTGAATGTGCATGCTTGGCATCACTATTTTTGGGTGTGTGAGTTTGCCTTGCACTGCAATCGGGTTATCGCAGTGGATAAATCAACAACACCTGACATGTGACAAACCCTGCGCGGTGCGCGCCTGCTGTTGTAAGCTGGCACGCCAGCAAGCCGTGCCCGCAATCAGGCGGTCAAGTGCTGCGGATGAGGCAAGCACTGGTGCTTAGCAGGATGCCATGCGAAGGACAACTACGGTGCAGGGGCCGCAAAGCGCGTGTTGTCCACCTGCTGCCTGTCTGCACGCTGACCTGCGAGACAGCCGCCGCACACCTCCGAAGATTCGCCCTCTCTGCTGCCGCCAATCTCAGGCACCTTGTGTTTTCCGAATGTACAGTAATTGGGGTTGATGTTGCGCAAACTCAAGCATCTGAGACTAAACAGACGGCGACGGATCCTATCATACATGTGATAACGCCACGTGTGTGGTATGCGTCCAATCCACAGGGGTTGTGGCTGGGAAGGTGTCACATGAGTGTGGCTGTCACGAGTACGTACCATCATCGCATGGCGCCTCACTCTGCCTTTGTGCTAAGGATCACAATGCAGTTGGCTGTCCAGCACTGCCGGTGTCCGAAAGCTGGACTTGGTTGATGACCTGGAATATCCCGCACGCAACGCAGTATATCCACTCACTTTGCACCCATGCCGCCGGGCAAATGATGTTTTCCGCAACTCTCCACCCCGGCAAGAGTAGGACAACAACAGGAGTGTGCGCTGCGGACAAAGAAGAGTTGAGCACCGCTTGGCTTCTCAAGATTGCCATCAGTAATTTGTGGTGTGAAGGCCCACGATGCTTGCCCAATGCGAGTGGTGCCATATGATGAGGCTTGCTTTCAAACACAAAAAGGTTGGCTTGGGCCGTGCTGCCCGTACAATTTGGCGCTCCATCACGAGGATATTCAATAATCAAATCCAAATGATTGTCATTGACTCAGAATCGCGGAATCGCGGCCGGGGGCATCTTGTTCAGCTTTCTCGATATTTGACCGGGATTTGGCGAACTTCACCACGGTGATCTGAATCTTTCGAAGGCTTGTAAGCGAGCTGGATGGTCACAAAGGATTTTATGAATATATGTCATGAATTCATTGACCTTTGGTGTCCTGAATGAACGCGCCAAAGGCTCCACCAATCCACATCTTGACCAATGCACAGAAAAAGAAATTACCCAGTACCAAACAGGGGACATACGGGATTTGCCGCAGGTAGCCTGTGAGCTTCTCTCTGCAGGAGGGAGCCTGCCGGTCCAAAGGCGGCCTATGATACCATATTGTAGGTGTCCAGGTGATCATTCCTGCAGCTGTTACAGAACCTCCACCGTCCAGCACTGTCCACTGGTATCATGGCCGCGTTTGCCGCAGCGCACGTGCACAGGTATGATGCAGGCCAGCCTGGTGAGGCCAAGCAACTATGCGTCCTGCTAGACTTGGTACACGGCTCACTGTACTGTGCAGCTGTGGCGACCACCACATGGGCTTCTCGAGGGGTGACAGCAGGAGCGTGCTTGCAGTGCTTCATGCAAATGCGTGAGTTCTCTCCCATTCAGGAGGTATTTTAGCCCCATGCGCCCGCCTGTGCCGAGTACTCTCAGATTGCGAGGTGCTGCATCAGCACCATGGGCCGCGCAGGTGCCGCCCGCCCCTCGTGGGCCCAACACGGGGACTGATGCCCCTCACTCGTCAGGGTGCAGATGATTGAACGCAAAACCAACTCCTGATAGCCGTTTGTACTTGTGCAGGAGCGGGAACCCAAGGGGCCCTCCCGACTCGCGTGGCGAAAAACAAGAGCCGTGGCCGCATGTCGTTCATTCAATCCACCAAGTGCTTACACAGTTATCATACAGAGCGAGGTTACGCACAGCAATTGAAGTTGAGATTCGTCGTCAAAGCACCAGCGTCAGCCACTCGGCCTCCTCTTCGGTGTGCAGCGACTATCTTGTGAAGCTCTACTGAACTCAAAGCCCAAGATGCCCCGCGGAGGCACGCCCACTGTTGATGATGGCGCGTACAAGCGGCCAGCCTTGCTCGCCCAAGTGTTCAAGCTGAAGCGGGAAGAGGCTCAGGTGGGCTGCGATACGTCTATATTGCCCCCCAAGGTGTCAGGGCGCAGCCTAATGCGAGCTTTTCAGGGACAAATGCAGTCCCGGCTGTCTCCTGCTGTCTCCAACCGATCCAGCCCGCACTTCGTCATGCACTCACTAATCCGCTTAGGGACTGCGCGCTTTTCAGCGGGCACTTGGCTGCCACCAGTGCCAGCGTCCGCATGCGTCACGCCTCGTGCCGAGTGCCACTTCGAAGTAGTCGAGTGCCGCCAGCGCATGGCGAAGGGCCCCCCTCCCCTGTCCCTTACTCTTCGCCCCTGGCCATGCTGCACAACAATATTTCTTCAGGCCGACATCCAGCTGATCAAGAAACTGATTCGCGAGAGCAAGGCGGCAGCGGCTGGCTTCGAGTCCGGCAGCAAAAGCCACGGGTCACCACACTAATGGGGGTCAAGGCTTGTTTTGGTTTCTAAGCCATGTCCGGGGGGTCTGTGCAGTTTGCCTCTCTCATCCCTGTACTTGCACCGCAGCCACGGCAGCTTACGCGCAGGGGTGGCTCTGTGGCAGGTTGCCTACAGTGGCGATTCGCCGCACGCTGATATTGCAGGGGTCGGCTGTGCCCGCGCCGTCGAAACCAAGCACCATCATAATGTGGCGAGTCCACTCCACCGGGTGATCAGCGCTCGCTTGCAGTCCCCTGAGAATACTCCGGATATTTTTTCAACTGGGAGAGCCGCTGCCTGGACTTGCCGATTGTTTAGTGCCCGGCCAACAGGTGCTGAGCCACCCCCGCGGGTGCGAGGCCAGTGTCGGGCAAGGGATGTTGGGGCTTGGGACTGGCCTGTTTACAAATCAGACGTGTCCGTTGCTAGCAGCGGGCGCACAGGGCATTGCTCTCCTGCCAAACACCGTGCACAGAGCGCCTGCATGCGGAGAGGAGCGCGCCATTCGGCACAGCCCACAGAGTTTCACACCACTGGCCGGCCACGTGTCCGGCCCATCCCAGTCAAATGTGTTTGGCGGCAGGCGTTGACCGCTGCTGGCTGCTCGCACCCTCCTGCATTGTCCAGTGCAGGACTTGGACACTGCATTTGTGGCTCGTCCTGAATGCCTCCTTTGTTTGCGGTTCCAGGCTTTTGCCTCTGGTCTTCTCAGCTCGGCCCCGACATTGCCTCACGCCACCACCCATTGCGCAGCGCCTGTAGGGTGTCGCGCGTGATACGCCTGCGGGGGGCAACCTGTGCGCCGCGGCCCCACCCTGTGCTGAGCTGTGTTTCTGCCTGCAAGTGATTTTACGGCAGGCTGGGACAGGCTGTTATGCTTGCGATAACTCAGGCTTTATTACTTCACATGAGTAACTCTTCCTGTGAGCGATGGGTCTCTTGAGCGTGTGACAGCAGCACGGCAAATGTTGTTGGGCAAAACGTAAACTTACCCAGCCCCTGGCGGCTTCTCAGCCCCCCTGGCGCCCACCAACCCCCAGAGCACCTTCTCGACTGCCTCCCCACCTGCCGACCAAACCGCCGCCCCCGGCATCCGTGCAGCGATGCATTGCTCCAGCCCTTACGCCTCGGGCGACCAACAAGAAGCAGGTTGTAGTTACAAGGGAAGCTGAAGGCAAGCCGAGGTCAAGACGGGGAAGCGGCGTTGGTCCATTATTAAGTCAATGAGACCTTGACAAAAGACATTCAGAGGGTGTAGACGCAAACGGTGCAAGCTCGAGGGGCCGGTCAATAGGTTAGTGCACCCCGGGCGCCGGGGGGGGCGTCCGCCGCGGCGGCGGCGGCCCCATGCTGTTGCCACCCGCCTGCTGATCCTGGGGCTGCTGCTGTTGATGCTGCTGCTGCTGCTGGTGTGCAGCCGCGCTGAGCGCGTTGGGGCTGCCCCCCTGAGCGACGCCAGCCCCCACTGCGAAGGTCGGGCTGCTGTTGCCGGCCACCACCTGAGGCACCGCCACCCGCGGCGCTGGTGGCTGCCCTGGGCCCAGCCACGCGTTGAGGCTGTTAACGCGCGCCGGCCCCGCGGGCGCAAAGGGCCCGACAGGCTGCGGGGCGCCGAGCTGCTGCGCCCCCAGGGCCTCGGGCGTGGTGGCCAGGCCCGCGGGGGCCGCGCCTGGCTGCTGCTGGGGGGGTGACGACGCTGGCGCCTCGGGCTGCTGCTGCTGCTGCTGCTGCTGCAGAAGCACCGCTGCTGATGCCGGCCCACTTGCTGGGGCGGGCGACAGGCTGGGCGCAGGCGGGGTGTTGGCCAATGCGTCTGCGAGCGCAGCTGTGTACGAGCCGCCGCCGGCAGGCGACTCAATCTCCATCGCCGCTGGCGGCGGCGCCCACGCCTGGGCCTGCGCCGCCGACGCGCGCGCCGCGGCGACCGCCGCCGCTTCTGCCGCTGCAATGGCTGCAGCAGCCGCAAGCGCAGCCTGCTCGGCAGAGCCCTGGCCGTGGACGAGCCCTTGACCGGCAGCGGCGGCAGCTGTGGCAGGGTCTGTGTCCATGGCCGCGGGCTGCTCGTCCAACGGCGTTGCTGATCCGCCGCGCGACCCAGGCCGGCCACCCAGCTCAGACGGCAGCGGCACCCCTGGCACAACCGCATGCTGCTGCTGCTGCTGCTGCTGCTCTTGCTGGTGCAAGGCCTGATTGGCGTCTGCCGGCATGAGGCTGAGGCCGCCGCGACCGAGAACCACCCTTTGCTGCTCCGTAGCCAGCAGCTGTTGCTGTTGCTGCTGATGATGTTGGTGTTGGTGGTGCTGCTGTTGCTGCTGCTGCTGCTGGAGCAGCAGAGTCTGTGCGCCGCCTGGGACCAGCAAGTGCTGCTGCTGCTGCTGCTGTTGTTGCGCCGCAGCGGCCGCTGCGGCCAGCGCCGGGGGCGCCGTGGGGGCCTTGAGCGGCGGCGTGAGCCCCGCGGACGCCAGCGCCGCCGCAGCCGCCAGCTGCTGCTGCTTCGCAGCCACAGACTTGGGCGTCACCACGGTAGGCGCCGCCGCCGCCGCTGCCAGCAGGTGCTGCTGGTGCTGTTGGTGCTGCTGCTGCTGCTGCTGCTGCTGCTGCTGCTGGTGGTGGTGATGGTGGAGCTGCTGCTGCTGCTGCTGCTGCTGCTGCTGCTTGACCGCCGCTTGGTGCGCGGCCTGCTGCGCCTGCAGGGCCGCGACCAGCTGGCCGCGCAGCGGCTCCGGCATCGCATCCAGGTTCACGCGCCCCTGGCTGGCCGCCAGCGCCGCCAGCAGCTGCTCCTGCGGCTC